ATACGGAGTTCTTAATTAATACGTAGTTGTTTGTTTCAGTTAACGCCAAACTTTAAATAATATGTTATTATAAGGTTATTTTTTTAAAGCTTGATGGAAGATGAGTGTGTAGGTATGTACCACATACTGTTCTATTTAAGTTTTTTTTAAAAGAGAGGAGTTTATTCAAGCGGAGGTGGATCCACTATTATTTTTATGAAAAGTTCAAAAGTGTTTTTGTTACCAACGAATCATTTGCTTCCTTTATAGCAATTAGAAGTGATTTTCTGTGAAGCGCTCGACCCCTGTATGGTTAGAAGTTTCAGTATTAGTTTCTGGTCCGATTGGTGCATTTAAGGTGGCAGAACGTTTGGACACTTAAGTTGATTTGTTAAAAAAAACTGTATACAGACGTTTTGAACTTAGTTTTGGGCTTCAGTGTGAGGAAAATATTTACAGTCTAGCAAGAATGTTTGTGGTTTTAACCATTTGTTAAAGAATTCAGTTCCAGTTTTTTCGACGTTTCTAGTCTGATCGGTGCTCTCAGGGGTTGAAGACCCTCGAGAATCTCCTGTTATTTTACTACGAACAGTTCCAAGACGTTTTGTGTTTAGTCTTTTCTCTGTAAGGAAAAAGTTTCTTAACATTTACAGTCTAGCAGCAATTTTTTTGGTTACGATCGTTTGCAATATCATAAGATTTTGGCTGAAGTATATCGAAGTACGATACATTAATTGCGGGACTGTTGTAAGAGAGACTGTTGGTTTAGAGATCTATTGCGTTATCAGAGTTAGAACGTTCCATTTTACCACAATTATTAGAATATAATTATCTGAAACTGTGACAATGATTGTAGCGATGAGGTCTCACGGAAGTGAGAGTTACTTGAAACTTACTCGCAGACATTTGTTGGTCTGTATTTCTTTGTATCAGTGGGGTGTTTGGCATGCTTTGTTATTTGTTGTAATATTTTGGCAATTTTTCTAAGTTATAACTTATAATTTTGGATAATTTTGATTGCTGGCGTTATGAAATCGGTGTTAAAATTTTTAGGTTATACCAATTTGGATGTAATTTGGTCCTTTTTTGATTGTTAAGTTTGATCAGTTTTGGACGTTAACGCTTTAAATGTTTTGTTACACCTTTTTCCTATGTCGATCATGACATGTTTTGCAAAAACAAAATAGAGAATTAAGTATTCTGTTTGAAGTACAATGCTCCCAACTTCATTTTCTTGTCAAAGTAATTATGCGTAAAGAGCATTAAGATTGATCTTTTCTAGCTTAAGGGTGGGGAATTACAATGTTGATATGCTTAGCGGTTCAGCGTAAAATAATAGGGAACTTAAGCACCAGACGTTCTTGGTACCACGAACGCCAAACGGAAGCATTTTTGCAGCTTGACAGCCACTGCGCATGTCAAGACGTTCTTGAGCTAGGGTCACGGACTTCAAAACGCGAGTTCTCAGGTTGAAACCAGAGGTTCCAATTCTGGGTTCTTTGAAGAGTATTCGTCATACAAAAGTGGAAATTCTTCGTCTGAAATCATGTTTTCTTCGTAAGAAAGAAACAAAACTTGGCGCAAATCTTTGAAAGGCATTTTTATCTGAATTATTCTGTTGGCGTTCGTCATGTTTTCACGTTGTTTTGCTTAATGATTTGCATTTGGCACGCAAACCGCGTCCCCGATCCGGTTCCGTGTGGTCAGCCATGCCGTACGTGAATCAAGAACGTCTGGTGCTTAAGTTCCCTAATGACGATACCGCGGACTTTTATGATGTATTTGCATCATCTAAATCAGTTTAGAAAGTGTAAATGACGTGGTTTATAATTCTGTCGAAATTTTTTTTCACGGGATTTTTTTGTGTTTATAGTGAATGTGTTTCAGTTAAACTTTTTATCGTGAGAAAAATATATTAAAAAATATACCTTTGAGTTCATGTTCCACCGGGG